CTCACATGCTGGGCATGGTGCGCTGTCTGCTCCGGAGTTGTTTGATTTGGTGTAGTGTTTTGTCGCAGCACTGGTCGTAGCAATTACTAAAACTGTAATTACATGAACTTTATTATAGGCGTCCCGTTCGTGGTTGTGAGCTTGTGGTCCACATCATGATGTTTTGAACTAGAGTGACTTTCTACCCCGTATGCCTTTTAATACATACGGATTCAAATAGAACTGCCATTGTGTGGCACGGCGTAGTTTTCTTAGAAACCACCATCGAAATTTATATTTTAGACACTATTTATTAAGAGTACTGGTCTTTATTTAAGCTTTAATTTCACCCAATAATATCACTGCATTCTCAATATATTCAGCCAATCAGACTACATTTGGTAGCAGTGTGAGACACAATCGTAGAGAAATGATACCATTTCTGCATGATCGCTTCTTTCAAATTCCATCGACAGTATACACGATGAATCAACACTGTAACGGGGTACAATCCAGTGTGCCCCTTGTTACATAAAGAGTGACCCGTCACTCTTGTGGACACCTGATACACGGTACCAGGTGCTCTCGGAACCAGTCAGTGCATGACTACTTAGCTCCACTAAAGGTAACCTCTAGTTTGTATGAGACCCAAGTTATAAATACATCAGTCTTAAATCTACTCTTCTAAGTAGCAAACCGTTCCCACTGAGGCCGGGAACACGTGGACTTACGTTCACTCGGGTAGTTAATACCCTTAAGCACTTCCTCTGTGCAAGGTGCTGTGTGACCCCGTCACACTTGGTAGCACTCGTAGTCAATCCAACACCATCGCGGGTGGATTGAGCTACCTGAATTCTCTGTGCGCTCAACGTTTGAGCCAAGATGGACCGAAGCGAGTTTCCTCGCTTGAACGACTCACAGTACGAGTCTGTTTGGAAGATGGGAGGCATCTTTGGACAAGATGTCCTTCGCAGCTTGGCGGCGGCGACGCCTGCCGAGCAACAAGAACGCGTGACTGCGTTTGAGACCTACGAGCGTGGTCTCATCGCTCACGTCCGCGGGAGCTTGGAGGCCACGATGGCCGCTCCCCAGGCAACCAGGCCTAAGCCGGTGTGGCTGAAGGTCCCCGCGTTTGAGGGGAAGGAAGGAGAGAACCTTCACTTCTGGGTCCGTGAGGTGGAGATCGCCATGAAGGCGGGTCTCATCTCGGACGAGCCAGTTCGGGTGGCGTTTGCCCTGTCTAACCTTGGTGGACGTGCCAAGCACTGGGCGTACACCAGGGAGACGACATCTCCTGGATGCTTTGCATCCTGGGCTCAGCTGTGTGAGCAGCTTCGAGCCGCGTTCCTACCGGCGAACAACGAGTTCCGCCAGCGCTTACGCTTTCTCGCGTGTAAGCAAGGCAAACGTGAGCTGCAGGAGTACGCGCAAGAGATGCGCACGTTGGTGGCATCTCTGGCAGGGAATCCTCTGCCTGAAGACATTAAGACAACAGTCTTCATGGACGGCCTGAAGGTCGGTCCTGCTCGCACCCAGCTATTCCGGGTGCAAGCGACAACTATGGAGGAGGCGATTCGAATCGCCCTCCAAGAAGAGTACAGCCACAAGCAGGCTGGTACTCTTCGGGAAGAGGAATATCGCCACGATGAGAATGCGTTCTCCGAGCGAGCATCGCAGCAATGACGCTGTTGCTCTGCTGTCACGCAGCCCGTTGATAC